CCACATTTCGAACAAGAATGAGCCAGATCATCAGTGTGAGTTTGCAAGTGAATATTCAAAGCATTTTTTTGGGAAAAGGTTTTGAAACAAACGGAACATTCAAATGGTTTGCTTTCGCTGTGGATTTGCTTGTGCTGATTCAAATTACATTTGAGTGTGAAGCTTTTTGAACATTGATCACATTTGTATGGCCTGTCGCCTGTGTGACTACGAATGTGTGCATTGAGATGACTTTTATGCGATGTAACATAACCACACACATGACACTTGTGCTCCTTTCGTTTCTTCGCCGCCTTATTCCTCGGAATCTTTCGTCCGTTTTGCTTTCTCGATCCATCGCGTTTCTTTCCTTTGCCGTTCGCATTCAGTCTCTTGCAAATGGCCTTTGATCCATCCCTTTGTTCATTGTCTTGACCGTCAAGAGCATTCGGTTCGGCTACATCTGAGCTCCAGCCCATTGACGAAGCATTTTCTTTTCCTTTTTCTGGCTTCTCTTCTTCACACTTCACTTCCTCTTTCACATCATTCAAATCAAAGTCGATGATAAAATCACTCTCTGACTCACCTTCCGATTCGATGTTCGATGTCGCTGTGGCTGCATCGCCTTCAAACCATCCATTTGGACGTGTCATCAAATCAAATTCAATGCCATTCGACGGTTCATCTTTAATGTCTGGCTCTTGTTTGATTTCGACCACAGCACTGCCCAACTTGCGTTGCACACGGCCATCTGAAGTTCCTTCGCCCGGATCCGTATCCATAACCGATGCCAATCTGTCGAACAATCGGAAGAAATGTGTGGAGAAAAAATTTAGGTTTGACAGTTCAGAAGTGTTTTTTGTCGAGAGAATTTTGCAATTGAACGAAAAAATGTAAGCTTCAATTGAATTTTCGTAGCTTATTGAGAATATCAATGAATGGATTGTTCGTCACCACGCAATCCAAAGCAAAAATGTATGATGGTGAGGATAATGTTAATGGCACAAAGAAATGGCTTGTTGGAGCGTTTGTTTCTCACAAAAATTCACGCAATTTGTTCGCAATAGAAAACTTTTCTTCGTTATTTCTTCGCTTTTCTATCCATGGCATCGAGGGAAAAATATTTTTATACTTACAGTTTCGATTATCCGTGCAAAATGCGAGTAACAATTGCTG